CTCCACCACCACGTCCTCTTGTTTCTGATAATTCCACCATCACTGTGAAAACGACGGCAACAAGCAACACTGTAGCGAATCGCATCTTGGCTAACAGCAACGACGAGTAAAACTGAGTTTCAAGTTAATTCCTCTTCCCAACTTTGTGAAAATTGAGTGTGTGTGATGCAGTCTCAATCACTTACTCTGCATCAGCAAAACTAATCCTCCGTATTATTACAAACTCTCAACCAAATGAGTGATCACTTGAACATCTGTCAATCAATTATATTACGTCAAGCTAATTTTTGCTTATCGTTTTTCAGGTTCTTTCAGACCCCTCGACGGAAGAATAACATCATCATCACTTATGTACAAGGTAGGTACGTGGGCGAAGGAAAACTAACAGTTCCGTGAAGTGCGTAAGCGGTGACGTATTCTACAGGGCTCAGAGTCCTAAGAGCTGCTTTCTTCCGCAAACAAGATCTGATAAATCATGCATGAAAAAGATACAGGACATGTATAATTCCATGTAGCAGCCCAGTCAGTTGCTATGGCTTGTGCGACGAAGAAAGGTTTAATTAGCCAACATGAAAACTAGGCCAAAATCATGGATTGAGGGCTACCTCATCGACGTATTAAATCCACAACGTTTTCCTTTAACATGCTGCAATCTTCAGCAGTTTATCGGAATATTTGCGATATTTAAAGGTTTATCAACTGAAATGATTTTTAAGACGTTTTGATTACAGTACTTCAATAAAAGTTAACAAATGAATAGATTCATTCAATGATAAATTAGTGATAATAATACAGGTAACAGTTAAGCATTGGAAGTTTTTACCTAGATTGAACAAATTCCAGCTTAATGACCAGAAACTCACAATCAACAAGTTTAAGACTAGTATGTTGACATTCCTGTTATATGAAAGAAGTGAGTCAGCAAGGAACTGGAGCGTGGATTGACCTATGATAATAAACAACCTGAAACGCTAGAGCGTCAGTTAATACATGTAATACGTGCCGCAGTACTAGACTGAAGATCAGCTGTTCAAGTTGGTGGCTAAAGTCAACAGGACAAGACTTACAGCAATGTTATCAAATTTATTTGAATCTGTAGGAATGTGATGATAAGGAAATTCTTCCGCTTTAGTAAATTTGTATAAATGTAAATTTTTCGTAATTTTACTGTATTAGCTCTGAACTGAGGATAAAGATGCTTATAATTCTCTCACGTTCTGTAAATCTTGACAGATATCCAAAATGGAAATAAAACATTTATAGTGTAAACTTAGTAATAACCTGTTTTCGTGGGATAAATCTTGCCAGAAATAACGAACCAGATGTTAAAGATCAATAGCGTACTTTCTAATTTGCTTGCGTTAGCTAACGAGCGCAATAAATTAACTGTCTTTACATACAAAGAGTGTATTTACTGTCAAATTGCGTATTCCCACTGCTTATGCATAACATTATCATAGTGCCAGAGACAACAATCTTTGCTGACTCATGTAATGCTGCAGCATATTTTCATTTATTTACCTTCCCCATACACCTGTGCTCTTTTCCTACATTACTTATTAGAAGGAGCTTACAGTCAAAGCCCTTTAAAATGCTAAACTGACAATGATTGAGTCTACAAGCAGTAAAGACGAAAAAACTATGATGATTTTAACACTGAAATGAAACTTGACTCGGAAAAATATTTATGATTTTTATAATTACTTAAATGACAGCAGGTTTTAAGTTTCTCGTCACTAACATTTTGAACAGGTAGTAGTAAATGGTCAAAACCTCCAATAGTTCCTAAATCGCAAGAGAAAGCAAGATAAGGGAACATCATTGTTATTAGCTTGGTATTGGTGAAAATGATGACAACTATGATGATTATTTATACCAAAGTGCATCGGCTTTGAAACTCGAATAAGAGGCCTTAGCATCCAATTACCTATCTTCTCATTTGATCATAAATAAAGATCTACAAAGTTATTGTTAGGGGTTTTTAAGACCTTGAATTAAGCAGCTTCCTGTTGAAGTAGACCGCATTACTTTGTTTCGCTGTTCGAGGTTCCGTCATGCAAAATAACTTAAACGTCATGAATATAAATCGTGCATGTGTTTTGTCACGCCTGCACATCGTGTTTTCACAGTCTCTATTGGGAAAATTTTAAATTCCTACGTAAATGGTGCTTGAAAAATGAAAACCTTTTTACCGACTGTGAATTAAATGCCATTGGTATCACTACATTTCACCAAAAACAACTAGAATATACTTATAATAATTAAATGTAAATCGTGTCCTATCTCACCACCAGCTTGTGCGAAAATGGTGGGCCGCATATTTTCATTTTCAACCACACTTACTAGCTAGTGAAAAAGCTTAAAGATGTTTCATGGACACTAACTAAGAATAACTAAACGTGTTAATAAACAAAAACAAAGTAACTAAAGAAAATAGTAGCTTTTTGTCGATGCTAAGTTGGCCTGAGCCGTTCGGATTTGTCTCGTACAAGATGACCATCGTACCTTCAATGGTCTTTTCCACCTGCTTACAAGTTGTTCCGGTAACAATGAAGGTGTTTTATCGAGCGAAACTTCGAAGCCTTGATCCTTGGTGTCTTCAAGGGACACTGTTTTGTTGACTCCATGTAGTGTTTTCGTTTCTCCATTTTTGTACTTCACTGTGGTTCGCAAGTCAACCAAGTTGTCTTTGATTCCTTCCTACATAGTCTGACGCCCTGCTGATGTATCCAAACACAAATTTCCTTTGTCATCCAGCAGCCTTTCTCTCTCATAGGTAACCCTCACAGCTCCTTGCTCCGAGATGGAGACATAACTCCGGTACATTGGATATCCCACCACCACGTCCTCTTGTTTCGAATACTTTCTCCATAGCAATAAGAACGATGGCAACAAGAAACACTGTAGTGACTCTCATCTTTTTTGACAACGACATTAACAATCGGGATTGAAGTCAGTTTTCCCTCGCGATTTTTCCTTCACCGGGTGTGCAACTTCCTGCAAACAAGATTTCACAAATCATTCGTAAGTGCTTGAAATATGAATCAACAAAAGACATGTATCAGTTCATAGAGTAGTTGACATGTAATAGTTAGTAACACAGATTATAAGTGTTCAATAGCCTACCTCCTTACGTCGAAAAACATGATAGGAGGAGCAAATAACTTAAAGATAAACCATCGACTTTCCTCAAATTAATTCATAGGGAAGTAATCACTAAAAAAAAAATTCCTATTGCTCGGGAGCGATAACGAAAATCTCCTAAATGCGACTAAACTGGAAAACACAAGCGATAACGAAAATCTCCTAAATGCGACTAAATGCCGCCAAAACTGAAACTAATTGCGACTAAATGCGGCTAAAACTGCGACTAAAACTATGGCAACACACACGCGAGAAATCGTAAGCGTAACTTGCTTACGACTGATTAACGTTAAATGTCTCAGCGCGCGCGCGCTAATTGCACGACACGCCAGTCCGGTACTTTCTTCTTAACACCTATGGTTTTATTGCCGTCATCAAAATATGTCTATTTATAGACCAGAATTGCCTCTTATGTGAATTACAATGCTGCCAGTGGTTCTGAAAGGAAACATTTCATTTTTCAAGTTCTGTAAACCTTAAAGATATACAACATGACAAAAACAATAGTGTAAACTTTCAACCCCTTTTGTTTTTATAGGCTATAGTTACGCTTAGCCCTTGCGCACTGTCCGAGAAACCCATTAAAACTGTGCGTGGCCAGAATGCACTTAAATCTGTGGTTATGCAATCCAATGATATTTTCAGGCACATTGTTACCTTACAACTGCCACCTGCGTGTCCGTGGTTGCTGTAACCCCGGCACCACGGGGTTACATGTCACGAATGACGGTGGATAAGTCAGAGGATATGATTTTCTATAACTGCGATTTTACGAAGCAGTATCACAATGCTCCGAACAATAAGAAAAACACTGTTCCAGGTCATGGCTATTTTGCTAAACTAGCATCCTTCGAAGAGGAGCACTGCGAGAAAGGGGACTGAGATACAAAGTACAGAAAAATGTCTTGCAAAGAGAAATACGGCGAGCTATGCGAATACTGTCGAGCAACTGACTTTGTAAGTCTTTCTCCAGTTACACCAACTCTACGACCCTATCCCGCTTACAGAAAACTTCCTGACTATCACTACCTACCAAGTACGAAAACACCTACGAGTGGCCGCAAAACTGATGATTATCAACCTCGTGCTTAAAATAAAACAGATGGTTCAAGGGGGTAAGCCCAAAGCAAGGGATAAAAAGGCAATCAAAGAGTTTTCTAAAAAATACATTGTTTCAGAGAAGCTTGTTGCAGATTATAGTGAGCATCTAACTGACATAATTGAAATGAGGAAAGATAAGCGGCCAACAGATAATGACAGGAATCGTGCAGAAGAAAGCGACAGGGATACATTGACATTGACTGGCAAGATCTCTATCACAGAAGCCAGTTGTCATCCCTTAGAGTTGGTGAACTTGAGCTTAATATTAATCACCAGAATCTTGCATTTAAAGGAAAGAAAGATAAGAAAGTGAGGGTAGGGAAGGCACATATTTGCAGTATGATTTTGACTTCTATTGCGCAGGAAAGTTAGAACAACATTTAGCCAGCTTCTGACTCAAATTCAGTCTGACAGTGACAATGAAAGGGCAGAGCGCATTGTTGGATATAGGAGTAACTCTTCAGAACTAAATGAATTAGGAGACCAGGCAACGGATAGTCAACAGAGGCAAGAAGCTGAAAAAACGATACCTGAATCTAATACGACTCGATACGGACGGAAAAGGACACGAATCCTCGGAAAAAACTGTGTGCCATGGCATAATATCCATGAAGAAATGTAACCTAGAACCTATAATAAAACACCAAATTAAATCAAAGTAGGTGTAGAGAAAAACTCAATCTGTAAGAAAAATGGAAAGCAACCTCACAAAAATCCTCATTGAAAAAATTCTGGGAAAGGTGTGTATCCCCCCCCCTGGATACCTTACAAAGAGGTATGACCCTCCCTTTTTTTGGCACTCACTTTCACCCTCCCCTCTGAGGCCCCAGGCCCCTCCCCCCCCCTTCAAGAAAAACGTCCCTTCCCTTAGACCCAATCAACGCTGTCAAGAAGCTTAAAATACTCAATTTCAATATCAAACAGGCCAAAGTTTACTTTCAAGAGAGTTCATTCGACAAAAAAGATTACTAGGCCCTATCAAATAAAGTTAGGCTTACGTTTAACAAGTGAAGAGTTTCTGAAAATACTAGCTCCTATAAGCTTTCAACAAACTAGCAAAGCGTTTTTAACTTTGAATCGGAGTCGAATACTTTTAGTCTTTTGTACCTGGATTTCATCTGTCAGTTTCTGGAGTGGCCAAGGTCGGTGATTGATTAAGGCTGCTGATAGAGATGTTGAATTGACCACCTTAAATAACAGCGCCTATAAAGAACGACATTGCTGGCTGGCCATGTTGATAATCTGCGGCCGAACCAGCTAAATTATGAACTGTGGTCGAAAAATTTACGTTCAGAAACTTGAGATAAATTCGGTTTCTCTCCATCATGCGCTCTCCCTGTTCTTAGTTCACACAAACTGTGGCACATTTTTACTTGCTGGTTTTCAGGCAAGCAGAGAACGTTCCAAACATCTTCTCTCAATTACTTCGCATGGCCGTCCCGAAAGGCGGGAAAAACCGATACGATATGTGAATAAAATTGCGTATCAGGCTTCTGATTGATCTTACGGTATTTTTCACAAGTTAGAAAAATCGTATGACCAATGGGATTCTTTCTCATCAAAGAGAGACAATTTTTATTCAGTGGGTTTGCACTAAGTTAATCTCAGTACTTATATAATGATTATCACGAATTAATATTTTTAGTTTACAGCAGCTAGTAAAATAAGACTTTCTTTTATATAGAATATTTTAGAATTACAACGTTTTCCCCTCCTAATTAGATCCATCAGCTGGGCCTTGACGACAATCGCCTGCTTGCAGGCCATAATATTTCTAACCCAGTTCCGTTGTCTTAGAAGCGCATTTATAAACGTTGGACAAAGTTGAAGACGACTGGGCTGTACCTCGCTTCTATCGCCAGCCTCTCACCAGTCGATTGTCACCTATTTCAGTCGACAATAAGCAAGCTTCGTGGATGAGCATCGAGTATAATCCGCCCTTCGGAATACTCTTTCAGGAAGCTTGGCCTAAATGCCATAAAGAAGTAATGGCAAATACCTTCGCAATTAATCTTACAAATATACCCAAGTCCCACAAATTACCCGCTCCTCACGTCGTGACGTAGGAAATTTTGTCAGAACCTAAGGAATACGTGTGATGATAATCCTTATAATCCTTAGTAGTTCTCAGGTCTATACTATTATATACCCTACGTACTGAAGAATATTCGTCTTTTCCCCTGCTTCTCTAATAAAGTTGGATTCCAGTGTCGCGTGAGTTTTTCCTTACATTAAAGGTGCGTAAAGGCTACCTGCGTCAGCAATTTCCACTGCTGCGTTAAAATTAATAGCACACTTTTTTTTACGTAAAAATTGAAGGCTACTGAACTTTCCTCTGTACTCTTGCAATTGCCGACGTGCGTAAGATGCAATTAAACGCCTTAAAAACGTGTTAGTGGAAATAGGACAACTTTTGGCAGGAGCTCATGCTTTTGGTCATAGGGTGCGTTTAGCTGTGACGTAAACATTCATTTCAACATACGTAATTGTTTTTCAACGCACGCTGATGTGCGTGGACTAGAGCACGACAGCAGAAATCCAATAAGGAGGCGTGCTAATGAGTATCGAGGGGAATCTTTTGCCAGTTGTGTTACTTTAAAAATCGCCTTGTTTCCAATGATGAAGACAGATATACCTAAAAATATCAGAAAGGTCACATGCTGATGTGAGACATTATGTAACATATTTTGGCATGTTCACAAACTTGACCCTTTTTTTCCGGGTGCTTTTTGTTCAGAACATCACTCTTTCGTAAACTTTGCTCCGTTTATTAGGGGATAGGATTCTAACGAACTAGACTCAATCAAACTGTTTTATTCCTCTCTCGTATTCGCTTATTTACAACGGGTGTGTAAAAAGCTACTCTCCAAAATTTGTAAGAAATCACTCTCTTAAACGAAATTCTCTGCATTGTGATTGGTTGTTGCAAAGTACTAATTTAAAAGGTCATTCAAAGTCGCGTTGATCATGTAAACCGATCAATTTCCCAAAATCACTTAAGGCGGTGCTTCTAGCATAATGTTCACATAATGTTCACACTCATCATTTGACATGTGTCACGCACGAATCACAAAGTCTACGACAACTCGTCAAATATTTGTTTGAGCTTCATAACTGCCTTGTGTCACAACAAAACATCAGATCTTGTTCAATTTTTTTTCATTTGCCTATGAATAACCGAACGCAACGCTTTCTAAAAAATTAAATTTTTAATTACATTATAAGAAATCCTAAGCTATGTACAGAAATCGTAATCCATACGTGACAATGATGCGAATGTAAGTCGATCTCCCGCAGTCAGAAGTCAATCCTTTACTACGTAAAAAGGGAATACATATGAACTACAGATCATTTTCATATCGAATAAATTTAATGTGGTTACTGAAATCGAAGCAAAAACAAGCTAAATGCAAATTTAGCACAACCACATGCAAATCATTAGAGTACAACTTGTCATCTTACAACACTTGATCTTCGGTTGAGGGTCGTTAATAATTGATATTTTGTGGCATGAAAAACTGGAAGTTTTAAAAGAGGTTACTGACTTTCCAAGCTAAGCTCGAGATTTCAGCAGACTAAAAGCCGAATAAATGACTCTGAGTCGGGTCTGAACATGTTGATGGCAGCGAAAAATAAGCGCTCTTGTTTCACTAACGAAATACATGTAAATTCATAAACATTAACAACGTAATAACGATGTAGAGTAGTATGTTGTTGATGTTCAGTCTCTTTGAGTTTTCCAAGTTAAACTCGTTATTTCAGCGGTCTAAAAGCCCAATAAATTGCTTTTTCGACGTTAACTATTATCCTATTATCATTATCGCTTTGTCGGTCTCAAATGCGATACTAGCGAAACATGAGCCTTCTTGATTCAATAACGAAATACACGTTAATTCATAAACACAAACAACATAATAACGACTGAGAGAAGTATGTCGTTGATGTTCAGCCTGTTCGAGCCGTTCGGATTTGTCTCGTACATGGTAACCATCGTACCTTGGACGGTCTTCTCGACCTGTGTACAAGTTGTTCCCGTCACAATCGTGATGTTGTAACTGGCGAGGCTTACAACTTCAAAGTCTTGATCCTTGATGTCTTCCAGCGACACTGTTTTGTCGACTCCGTGTAGTGTTTTCGTTTCTCCATTTTTGTACTTCACTGTAGTTGTCAAGTTAACCAAGTTGTCGTCGATTCCTTCCTTCATAGTCTGCCTCCCTGCTGATGTATCCAAACACAAATTTCCTTTATCATTCAGCAGCCTTTCTCTCTCATAGGTAACCCTCATCGCTCTTTCTTTCGGTATGGAGACATAACTCCGGTACATTGGATATCCCTGCCGATAGACAGGGGCACTGCTGAACGCGTA